TAGACCCTAGACCCTGGTAGACCCTAGACCCTGGTAGACCCTGGTAGACCCTAGACCCTGGTAGACCCTAGACCCTGGTAGAAACTAATAGAAAGTGAATTATTTTGTAACTCCGTGTTTTTGAATTATTTTGTAATTCATTTACGTCATGGTCTCGACACTTTCCTTTCAACAAAAGCGGGATCTAACAAACCTCATCCATCATTCTCATATCGACAGAAACAAATATTCACAACGACCTGATGTATATACGTCGACTCATCATACTCGTCTTTGTACAATATCTATAATATTGTTCAGAATTCTTTTCCGATAATCTATGTTCAACAAATTGTTTACTCTCAGCATCCAAACATCTCATATTTTATCTCAAACTATATACAATCATCTCTAATTGTCAGCCAGTGGAGGGCCTTTGGTGTTCATCAAATGTAAGCTATAATGCATATTAAGATTTATATTTGAAGACCCACCACTGTCGAAAATAAGAGACATACAGCTTGTTCTGATAACGGTCAACCAGCATGATTAAAGTTGAGTACTAGTATTATAACATTTTTTGAAAAATGCCTTTTTCAGTAGATATTCCAAACTCTTCGCTACAAATTTACTCTTTCTCATAATACCGGAAAAGAGAATCTTTTGTTTGAGTGCGTTACCAGTATGTATTTTTCTTGTTAAACGTGTACCATACAGTCAATTGAGATGAAATTTTCAAGCATTAAACAACTTCATAGTATCTAGCTATGCACCAAATTTCGAGGCTCTACACTTCATTACTGGAGAGAAATTGCAATGGAAAGTTGCCAAAACGTGAGTGCATTGCTTATGGAATCATTTTATTTGAAATTCAGATTGAAATTAAATAGACCATTGTATGTGTAGTCATAATGTTTTATGAAATAGTTATAAAGTGCGAGAATTATGTTAATAAGACGCATAATTGAGCATCCATTATCCATTTGATAGTTGCACTCTACTCAGAGTTCAAATAATTTGATTAAAATTACTTTTCTAGATGGAAAATTTTTATAAGCAATCAACGTTGGAAATGCTTCCAGATGAGATTTTGTTGGAAGTATGCAAATATTTATTGTGTACTGATATTCTTCAGTCGTTTATTGGATTAAATTATCGAATGACACATATGATCACTCAATATCGTCATCATGTTTCATTTTATAAAGCATCTATTTTAACATCTGATTATTTATGTATAAATGTTCTTCCTCAAATTGGTTCTCATGTTCGATCATTAGTCATTGATCGCAATTATTCTTGTTTACAAGATGAATTATTCATCGAACATTTTGGAAAAAAAATGTCAATCATATTTCCTAAATTAGAAAGAATTAGTCTTACTTATTATGAGCATGCTAGATTACTTACTTTTCTTGATGTGTTACATGATTTGAATCATTTGATTGAGATTCGTTTATATGATCTTTTGGATATTCAAACTTGGCATCAAGCAACACTTGTTCGATCACTATGTCAAGCAAATAATCACCGACTTACGACGATATTAGTGGATGACCGATCGAGCTGTTTGAATTTTAGTGGTACTGATCGATACTTAAATGTTCTTCGATTGCGTATCAACTTGACAAGTATCATAGATTTACCGGCTCTTTTTGCAGCTGTTCCAAATGTTCACTATTTGGATGTAGTAATCAACGAAGGAAACGATTATTCTGAATTGTTGGATGAAATGAAATTTTTTCCTCTTCTTCATCTCACCGACTTTCGATTGAAGTCACTTGGGCACGGTTGGATGTTAGAAGAACTATCTATATTACTTGTTCAATTAACAATCGTGCAAAATCTGTCACTTTCTCTCGCCACTCTTGATAATCGACTCGTCGAAGGTAATATCCTTCTTTCCATACTTCCTTCCACTATTCAACAATTCAACTATGCCATTCGCTACTTCTATGATTCTGTATTTGATGAAACTGATGACATTATTGCCTCTTGGCCATCATCAAATCCAATAACAGGCTGCTTAAACAAGAAGTTCTTGTTTCTCCATAGTTTACCTTGGCGCTTTCCTCGCATAGAATTTTCTTTGCCACACGGTAAAATGGTTTCATATCCTACAAATGCTGTAGCTGCCTATGATAGGAACGTGGAACAAGTAGATATTTGGGTTGATAGAAATTTTGCTTTGACAAGATCTTTGTCAGCGATATCGCAATGTCATCGAGCAAGAGTAATTACCATTTACGTGGGCAATGGGGATGACACTATGAAAGGTATGTATATCTAACAAAAACATAGCGAATGTACAAATGGCTAGAAAAGCGAATCAAACTTCTACAGAAAATATATGGTCCACTGGATGAAAAATCACCATTTTAGATGTCAGAGTCTTTGGAAAAAATTCGATGCGTCATAGTTTGACCGCAAGGAAAAATGTCGAGTGGACCTTGTGTTTCATATAATGAAGATGAAAGAACTCAGGTCATGATAACAGTTTTTCACTTGTGCAATATTATTATCCTGACTATTTTAGTTATTCTTTATCGAGGTATTATTCGTCACAATTACTACTGGTTTCAGTACCAAATCAATAGAAGAATGAGAAAAGAAAAGTTCACAAAGGATTGGAGTGAGTGTTCACTAGTGACATAATGTCTTTCGATGTATTGTTTTTCGAAATTTTTCCTTTCGGTCAAATTACTGCCAAACAAAACTTTTAACTCGGAGAAGAAAAGCAATAATCATCTTTATTAAAAGCTTTAATACTTCACCATCCACTCGATTTTTAATAGCTCAGAACGACTACTTGCAGTCAAGAAACTTTTCTTCACACTATATATTAGATAGAAGTCCGTAAGAAAACATTGAATATTGTCTAAGAAAGCTTTTATGAATTTAGCGATACATGTATACATTTATGAAACTCATGTCCAATTTTTAAAAGAACACTTAACACTAACTTTACATAAGATACTTGAGAAAGTCATATTCAATGTACCAATGTGAATGTTTTCGTATGAATGAAAATTATAATGTTTTTCAACTCTTCATATTTTATTATAGCTTGAGATCGGCACTGTTTGTGAAATTCATATATTATTCTAACAAAATCATTTGACTATTTTCAGAAGAACAACAATTTCCAGTACACCATCTTCCAAAGTTACCTCGGCTGATTCAAGTCTTTTTGTTTGAATCAATACCATCTGATCTCAATCTTTTTTCATTTATTCTTAATGCTGCACCTAATCTTTTTCGTTTGGATTTACCTTTTAATTGCTTATGGAAATTACTTGAAGATCAACAAACACATTATCTTCTTGGTCAAAGAATTACTTCACTTAACATCTACAAAAATGCAACAGAGACGTCAATAATAACAGCCAACGAAGAACACATACCTATCATTGCTTCTGTATTTCCTCGAGTTCGTGATTTGTATGTTGATGTGACGCATTTAACAAGTAGTACAACAATGATCTCGAACGGAAATACTCTAGAACATACTGTAGTAGAAAACATACCCATGGAATCAATTCAACAGAAACATGAAGTTGTGTCATCATTATCAAGTGAATCGATGCTGTTATGTTTGTTCAGACAATTCAAACAACACAGACTCACTGGTCTATATATCGATGGACACTTCCTTGAAGAGATAAAAACAAATACAGAACAATGGTTACGAAACAATACTGTTCTTTGTGAACAGCAGTTCAAAGCTGTTTTTTCTAGTGAGTGGAATCGAATACTAATTTGGATGTGACATTATTTGTATTATGCTTTTAAACAAGAAATCTTCTTTTTTTTTCGATTTAAATTCATTAAAGTATGATGTCTTACGAATACAATAAATTGATTTTTTTTTCATATATCGATGCGACATATTAAGTCTTGATCAACTCGTAACTTCGTCCATATTTTCTTCTAAGTAATTACTTTTCACTGGAAATCTCATGTTTGTTTTCCATTTTGTGAATATACGAAGAAAACATCGTCAATCTCACAGAAAAAAATCAACTTTTAGAGTGAATAGCATTTTTGCTATCTATAATGAATGACTCAAACAGTAAAGAGTTCTCTTTAAGAATCGAAACTGTAGTGATATTTCACAAAATTTTTCTTTCAGATTGTTAAATGCAGCAGTTTGGGAGAAAATTATATATGTATGGAGTCGCGAATACAATAATGTTCATGAAATTACTACATTCAATTTCAATTAATTGTGATTAAGAGAGCACCTATGAGGCTATCAAAAAACCGAAGCGCTCGTCGAAATTTAGTTTTTTTTATTTGATGTTCCCATTTCAATCAGTATCGTCTAAAACATCTAAATCCAAATTTTTATCACATTTACTTGAAGACACGGATCAATTTTAGTTATCCCGCTTGATAATGACGTTTATGTGTTCGTTAGCATATGATATATTTGAAAGGAAAATGATATTATTTTAAGATTAGAAGTTATGTCATGTACTAATATTTCAAAAGAAAATATGATGCGGTCAATATGTCGAATGAGTAATGTAATCGTAAATTTTGTTTCGTGTTTTTCTATAGCGTTGATTATGTTGTCGAGGACTGTCTTGTTTTTCCTTCTGTCTCTAGTTTTGAGCAATTTGGCTTCTTCATTGGCAGTTTTTTAGCTGCAGTTAAAATTTTTGTTGTTAAATAATTACAGTATTATTGATAATCGAAGGAGAATCTTATTTTGAAGGATTTTGGAAGCAACGATTTGCAATATTCGTTTAGATTTATTTGAAACGAGTTGTTGATCGATGATAAAAATGAAAATTATTTGAATAATGGTTTATATAAAGTGAGGAAGAAGGCATTTGTCACTTTCTATTTCTCAGACAAGAAGAATTCTTCTTCTTCCGAATCGAGTGACTTTTTGTTAATCAATCTATTAATGTTATACATGCGACTTATAAATATTTCTATTATAAAAATAATAATCCATTAGTGATTATTTTCGACGGAGGAAAACAACAATTTTCTTCATACGATCATCAAAGTTCGAAGAAAATATTTTTCGGCAAAATCATCTATTGCAATATGATTGCTAGACTATTTCAAACAAATTCAATATTCTATATGTTACAATGAGAATTTCAAAATGTTAATTCTTTTGTCTTTCGACTTTGCTCTTATAGAACAAGTAAACATAAGATCTTTATCTGAAAGGAATGTACGTTATGAAAATGTTGTATCTGATATCGAAATCAATGTTTCAATGTGTTTACACACAGATTATCATGTCTAATACACATCGTATGAAATCACATCATTTATCAAATCCATTTATTATCGATCATTTTTTGTTTTTGATCAATTTCTATTCTATCAAAATCAAATTCAACTTGAAAATCTTATCCTTGACGATATCAAATCAGATTATCTTAATGAACTTCTTATTCATTTACTTTCCTTACCTTGTTTATCTTCAATAGCCATCGATTGTATAGATAATGTTGAAAATAAAAACGATATTTATCGTCAAATATTTCGTTTACCTGTATTAAAATATTGTAAAATATCATTGAACAAACCTTTTAATCTTATTTTACTACTTATTGCAACGACCGAATTCAGTCCTATTGGATATCTTGTTATTACAAATTTATTGCGATTCAATGAATTGAATGATCTTTTATCATATGTTGCTGAACTTCATCGTTTATCAATTCATCTTTCGAATAAATCTTCTGAAAAATATGATGAACAATATTCAATTCACTTTAATCATTTGACACATGTTTTTTTTTTTAATATAAAACGTACAGTCAGTGTACTTAATAATGACAGGAAATTTTTCACTTGTCTTGTTTGACTTCGTACACAGTCATTTTACATCCGATTGAAAATATTTTTATATTTGCATAATCCTTGGACCTTGCTCTTTCGAATGGTATGATCACAGCCTTTCTTCATCGTCGTAGGACAGTCGAGAAATCATCAGTTTACGAAAGAACACTACATCCATCGTTATTAAGAGTAGTTTTCCTGAATCCGAAACTCAGTCAATTTTTGTCCCTAATAATGATATTATGAGAAAACCCAAGCAAAAAAGTATCTTTTGAGAAAAAACTATTTTTTCACGTTTCCTGTTCGGATAGTCACTAAAGGTCCTATTGACAATTTTGAAGAGCGTACTAAGCTCTATCAAAATCGATTTCTACGTTGAAAGCTTGATAACCTCTGAAGATTTCCACGACTCTATTCGATAGTTTATCATAACTTATTTTTTGTACCTAGAGTGACGGTGGGTGTGGTTATGGGATGTGAATATTCTGGTAACATACACTCACATCCTTAGCTTTTTCGGACTTTCCTATGAAAGAACTCAATGTATACAAGTTATACATTCCTGAGCACTTGGTCACACAAATCGTTTTTTTTTATGGATCCTTTAGTATTTTGCACTGTCCTCTGCGCTCGCTCGTTCGTTCGAGTCCTAAGATGTCTTAAAGGATCCAGAAATGTGTTTTTTACAAAATTGGCTAGTTCATTAAGTTGTCCAATACTGTTCATTAAGTTCTAATCTCAATATAGGACCAAAAATGACCATTGCCTAAAATGAAAATTTTCTAGGATTTTGTCTCTAGCCACTATTGAGAGCATGCTGTTCCAAAATATTTTTTATATTTTATGACAACCATTGAAATTTAACATCGTATAAGACACTACTAAAATATACTAAAACAGTCGCAAAAAAAATATTTATCCATATCACCAGTGTTGATGGATAATAGTCATATGTATTAGAGATGGCTCTCACCAATTAAGAGTTGTGGCATGGATTAACTTTCGTCACACGAATTTTAATTATTTTAGCTCTACGTCAAACGATGCAGAGCTTCAAAAGCTTTCAAAAAACATAAAATTTAGTTTGGGATAGCGTGATCCAGTATGATTCAAGGCAAAATATTAGAACATGGATATAAAAGTCAACTATACTTTTACTTATACATGAGCATCATAAATTAATAAAATATGTTGTAGAAATCACATAGTTGACTACTTTTGTAGAAAAAAAGTGTCTGCGTCTTTTAAGATGCCTCTGAACTTGAACGAACGAGCAGACACAATGAAAAGTGCAAAATGCTAAAGGATCCATAAAAAAATTGATTTTTGTGACCAAATTCTGAGGAGTGTATAACTTGTATACATCAAGCTTTTTCATAGGAACGTCCGAAAGAGCTAAAATTTTGGATTTGAAGTATTCTAATGATTCTCTACCTCTTAAGATAATTAAATCGAAGATGAAAATTTTAGCAGGGGCCTGCTTGGTAGATTCTGTCACAGACCCTCTCTCCTATAATGTATTTCATGTCTTATAGAGGTAAAATAAAAATATGCATAACTTTTGAAGAAAGCGCATGCACTCAAATCCTTTTAGGATATGTATTAGGGCACTATGTAATATCTATGGGCAAAATTTCATTGAAATCCGAGGAGCACCAAGGGATTTTCCCTCATAAGCCACTTTACCTGATTTCTCAACAGTAATGGAGTGAGAAAACATAGTTTCTTTTTTCTTTTCCGTGTTATTATCCCCAGTATTGTCTGGCTCTTTCTGAGATCAACCAAAAAGATTTACTTACTGTAATTTCCTTCTTTTTTATTTAGTTCTTATGACACTTCGAGCAGTTTTATTGGAGAAATTCAGTCGTCATATCAGGTTTTTTTTGTTTATTGTTTTAAATTATTTATTCTCATAGTTGTGCGTCACTCTGCGGGCAATCCGGATCGGTTGCTCCAGTATGATTTTTCTCTTTCATCATTTACTTATGTTCGTAGCGACCATGAACTTTATCGGAAAAACGGAATTAGTTTACTTTGCTATTCTCCATTTAATTGCATGAATACTTTAACCGTTTTTTAAACAGAGAAACAGAGAAAACTATCTTACTTTGCTTCTTTTTTATTTCACTTATTCCCATAGTTATCGGAGATTTAACAGAAGCAATATAATGAAAAAAACCCTTTCCTTTTCTTCAGTTGGTTATTACGAGTATTGCTCATCATTTTTCTAGGAAAAACCTAAACGGTTAGTTTTGTCTAATTTTCTCTTCCTCATTGAGTTATTCTGAAAGCAATTACACATTTTCCAAAAACTTGAATAACTTAGTCTCATATCTTGTTCTTCTAATAACTGTGTTCATATTTCGTGATTTTATTCTAAAGAGAAACGAAAAGGGTGGTCTTTTGCGTTTTATTTGTTCAATTATGAGGTGTGAGTGTAGGTGACTAGAGTATGGATGTGGATGTGAGTGTCGATGTAGGTCTGAATAAAGAAAAGACCCACACCCTAATGTACAATTGATTCATGAATTTCTTTTTCGTACTCCACAGACTTATTGAAAGTTTTTGATACATATCTCCATGCAAACCTTATGAAAAATGTTCAAAATAAATTTGAATTCACAAAGATTTTTCTCGTAATATTGATAGAAACATATTTGAAAGAAAGACGTGTTAAAGTCTTATTGCTGCGTCGTATTTTGAATAATATTTTAAATGGTTCTATTTTTTTTCATTTTTGTTTTTATGTTTCAATTAAAATATCATAACACGATGTAGGAGCTGCCTATTCTGGCAACGGATTGCCATGAAAAATCTGTTCAAAATTCATACATCGAATATGATATTAAATAAACAACGTCTATCATCGGAGAAACTGTCAAAAGTAGTCTGCGACGTAAATAGATTAAATCAGAGTTCTTTTTGCAAACATATCGACGAAAAGATAAATCGAGACAAAATGAGACGACATATCCTGTCTTGATTAAATTTTTTCATTTTTATTTTTCCATTAAAAGAACTACAATCCTGCTCTAGCGAGCGTGAGCGCAATTTGTGTTTCAATAAATAAGTAATATTATAAAACAAATCATCAAAATTGGACTAAAAATAAAATTGAAAATCAACTGTGCAAAGAGTAACGGTTAAAACAATACACAGCATTGATAAGTATAAGCCGCGGATACAAGACTTCGAACAACTGCATTTAATCTTGCCATATCAAGAATAACGGCAACCATAGTGAATATATTCATCATGAATGGACACATGTAAGCTATGACCATATAGAATCAGCTCCCTATAGTAAAACTCTTGTCCGATATATATATTTGTAACAAAAGCCAAGAATCATTAAAGCAAGACAAGACATCTGAATACAAAGAACAGCTTTTGTACCATCAAAAGAGGTTTCAGGTAGTGAGGGTGTGGGTGTGGATGTCTCTCTTTCCTTTATCCACACCCATCCACACCCACACCCACACCCACACCCACACCCACACCCACACCCACACCCACACCCACACACCCACACCCACACCCACCCACACCCACACCCACA